CAGTAAATGAGTAAGAGGAAAATTACAACTAAACACAAACACTGCAGAAATTTAAAAAGAGCCCTGGTCCTTAACAGTAAAAATTGAAAAACAGTCTGGTCACTAAGGGGTTAAGGTCATGTTTTCAGTTTTGCTTCTTTGGGTCTATTTGAAATTCACTTTGAATTCTGTGCAATTCTTACTTTAGTGAATAAGTCACTAAGTCAATTTCAAATATAAAACGCATTGATGAATTTTTCGGTTTCAGCTATTTTGACCTTGCATTTGAATTTACCTTGATGTCTCCCTTTAGTAAATAACCCTTTAAGTTAAACATTAACTCCTTATACTAATCTAATATTAACTTACATCCTACATCGCCCTAACACTACTCATTAACTCTTGCGAAAACATTTTGGGCTTTAACTACAGTTGTAGGTCACTATAGCCATGAAAACAACTTTAGCTTAAAGGGACACCGTAGGCACTGTATCTGCTTTATCTAATTGAACTGGTTATAGTGTCTGGAGTTCCCTGGTACCCTCACTTCTTTCAGCATTAAACAGTTTTTAATGTTTTAATGCTAAACAAGAGTCCTTGGCAGTCTATCCCCTCTGTGCTGCTTTGGCTAATAAGGAATTAGCCTGAGCAGCAATGGGCAGTTGTGATTGGCTGAGCGTCTCAGCTGACTGCGTCTAGCCTGTCAGAGCTCCAACAGACGGTATGAATGGGTATGACAACAAGGAAGTGTGTAATCTCTGCCTTAGTTACACATACAGAAGAGGCCGGACTGTGGGTGGCCAGGGACTCTTATTTTGTGGCATACTGCACGAACATGGTGCAACACTGAATGGAGGGACAGTGACAGGGCACTCCAGGCACTAGAACTAATTCAAAGGGATGAAATGGTTATAGTGACTACAGTGTTCGTTTAAAGCCTTGCCCCGCCCTGCAATTAGGCTCCAGAGCACTCTGGTTGGTTGGTTTAAGCCATCCAATCAGAGTGCTCTGACAGGTATAGGAAGAGACTGACAGGTAAGTCTCTACATTTACCTGTCACAGCACTCTGATTGGTTGGCTTGAAATCCAGCCAGAGTGCTCTGTGTCATTTTACACAGCGTGGGAAAGTTCTTTGGAATTTTCCCACGCTGTGTAATTTGACTCATAACAACACTCTGATTGGTTAATTGAAATTATTATTTTACTTTAGGGCCCCTATTTTACTTTAGGGCCCCAACGGGCCGTTCAGGGGTGGGGGCCGGGGGGTAGGACAATAGGCCCCCTCCTCCCCCCTGTTTTCTGATTTAGGGCCCCCACCCACCGCTCAGGGGTGGGGCAATAGGTCCCCCCTTCAGTTTAAAAGCATCCACTCAGGCGGCACGGGTGGGGGCTCGGGAGGGGGGGACACGTTTTTTTGTTTGTTTTATTTTTGTTTTTTAACAGTGACTGTTTAATAGACATGCCCCTACTCGCGGTATAGCGAGTAGGGGCAGAATTTACTAATACTAAGTAATTTTTACTTAGTATTAGTAAATTTGGCTGAAAGACAGATTTAGGTCTTTCAGCCGTTTGGTAGGTAACTCCTTAATACCGTGGGAATCAGGGAGTTATCTACTAAGCGGCTGCAAGAGAAGTCCCGAAGTTGCCGAAGTGTCGAAACAAACCAAAGTACCAAAGTCCCTAATTTCGGAATGCCGAACCGAACTGAAAATTTTCCCCATGCACATCCCTACTCTGAAGTATCACTTCTCAATTCTCTGCCATTTAGGAGTTAAATCACTTTTTTCTGTTTATGCAGCACTAGCCACACCTCCCCTGGCTATGACTGACACAGCCTCCATGAACAAAAAAGGGTTTAATTTTCAATCACGCTAACTTACTTTAAAAGCTTTTACCTCCTGCTTTGTAGACTTAACTTTAATCACACAGAGGAGGCTCCTGCAAGGTCTAGCAAACTTTTAACTGTGCAGGAGATAAAGTCTAAATTAAACAGAATTTGCAATAAAGGATGTGTGAACATTAGATGACTCTTTACAGGAAGTGTTTAAGAAGGCTGTGTAAGTCACCTGCAGGGAGGTGTGACTAGGTCTCCATAAAAAAGTGATTTAACTCCTAAATGGCAGAGAATTGAGCAGTGAGACTGCAGGGGCATTATCTATAGACCCAAACTGCTTCATTAAGCTAAAGTTGTTTTGGTGACTAAAGTATCCCTTTAAAAATAACAATACAATTTTTGTTATTCTGATGTATTTGTATATGTTGAGACAAACTCCTCGCTGCAGCCCAATCTGCCCTCAGTTTTGATTATTTTGTTAAATGACATAGAAACCTAGAATGTGACAGCAGAAGAGAACCATTCGGCCCATCTAGTTTGCCCAATTTTCAAAATACTTGAATTAGTCCCTGGCCTTATCTTAAGTCTAGGATCCTATCCCACGCATGCTCATAGAGAAGCATTGAGGACATATTGTGCATACCACAATCCACCAGTCTAATATTTTTCTATGAGGTGCATTGGACACCCAGCATCAGCATAGTATCCATGATGATGCCATTTGTAAAGTACATTCTATTATATAAAGGTACACTATAGTCACCCAGACCACTGCATCTCAATGAAGTGGCCTGGGTGCAGTGTCCCTGTCCCAGTTATCCTGCAATGTAAAACATGCAGTTAACTCCTATAGTGGCTGACCACTAGAGGATTTTCCGCAACACAGACCGGGTAAAGCTCGGTTACATGACGCTAAAGCCCCACCACCCCTATTTATTATGGCAAAGTGTGAATGCATTTGCTGTGCTTGCAGTCCATGCACATTAAGACTCCGATGCTTCTGCACATCCACTGGGCTGGAATAAGGCATGTAAAAATGTTTTTGCTTGGGCCTTGGGGATGACCTTTTTAGAGCAAGGGAAAGGGACACTAGAGTGTTAGGAATAAAGATTTGTATTCCTAATGCTACATTGTACCTTTCATCTATTTTAGTCCAAAGCTCGTAGTGGCTGTCTAACAGCCTCTAATGGACTGTGGAATGCAACACGTACACACTATTGTTACCCAGAGATGGCACTATTACAAGGCTGCAGGAGCGGTATCTATTAAAATTAGGTGACTTGGATGCTCAGAATGTCCCTTTACGTCTCTGCTAGCTTTTTACATTTAGATCTTGCAGTCTGTGAGCATTCTTCTTGGAAGAATTGCTTATGTTCTATCAGGTTAAATTGTATATATTAAGTATAATATTGAGCAGAATCTCACTCCCTGCCATCCTTGCCAGGTGTGTGCACTAAGCCTATAACTTTTGCTCTAAAGCGAAGAAGGTCAGTTATGGTCTTGTCAGACCAAGGAGGTTTTTTTCTGTGTTTGCAGTGCCCAACAATGCCGTTGCATTGTATTTTATTACCTTTGTAACACCTGTCTATCATTGGAGTCCAAGGTTGGATAGATTCTCAGTTGTTAAAGGGTTACTCTAAGCACCATGAACACTTCACTGATTTGAAGTGGTCATGGTGCCTGTAGTCTGTAGTCTCACCATTCCCCTATGAAATGCTGCACTTACAGAGTTTTAACCCTCTACTGCCAGAGGTATAACTACATCTCCAAACTCGTCAATGGACCATTATTAGCCAGCCTGGAACAAGAGCTCCCATCTGGCTAATGTGAATTCTGTGTAAATGTTGCATCTGCCACCACCAAGTTTTAGCTATATTCTTTTTCTGTAAGGGGGGGGGAGGGGGTTGCTTCATTTTTTATCAAACCACAGATTGACAGAAAATTGAGACTGCGCCCATAGACTTGTTGTACTATAACCACCACAATGAGCTGGAGTTTTTATGGTATATCCCTTTAACAATATGACACTATATTGAAGCTGAAACGTTTCCAAAGTAATCCTGTTGTCAGCAAAAATGTAAGTGAAGTGAAACTAAGTGATAGTATCAGCAGATATTTGCTAGACATTTTGGCTTTGGTATAAATTGTTGATAGCATGTCTGCATGGTATTGAAAAATTAATGCAATGGGCAGTTTTTAAATGCAGCAGTTGGCACATAAGCCGTAATATGTACTGTGAAGGAAAAGCACTTTCTTGTTGTTGTTAATAGAATAGTATTAATCTACAATTTGCAAGACAACCTAGAGATCATAGAGGAACCGTCATTTCCAGAGAAGTCATTCTTCCATTAACCCAGTACTTACTCCCACTGTACTTTTTGCCTTTGGAGGCTTCACCGTCCCATGATGCTTTGACACACCTTCTCAGACATCTAACAGAGAAATTTAGCTGACGCTGTCAGCCAATCAGCTATGCCCCAGCCCCACAATGCAGGGCCTAGATCACAGGAACTAACACATGTTCCTGTTTAGAAATGTCCAGTTCTCTGCATAATTGAGGAAGAAGCAGCAGTAGGTGATTCCCAGGTAATAAGTCAAACAATTCAAGAACGGCTTGACTGCTTACGATGGGGAGCCACCAAGGCACTCCTATAACCATAACTATTAAAGTGAGCTGTAGTAGTTATGGTATTTGAAGTGTACATGGATTCTGAATTAGGTTACATTTGACTGTTTCTGACTAAGTCATAAAGCATAGCAGATGATAATGCTTAAAATTAAAGTTTGTTTGCATGAAAGCAAGTGAACAATAATTTGCAAGCGTGCATCCTGCTGGATACATTAATTCCCTATTTAGTTTAAAATCTGCGTTTTTAATCTTGGCACTGGATGCATCTAGATGATTGCTGCAGATATGTTCAGGTCATCTGAATTACGACCATATGTCGCTTTAGTAAATATGAGAATTGCCAATGCAGTTGGAATTTGGCTATTTTCACTGAATTTTGTCCAATTAGACAAAATCCTTAGTTTAATGATTAGTGGATTTTGCTCATACATTGTATTTCACATATGGCTCTATGAGTCGACTAATGCGTGTTTATCTTTTCATTTTGCAGGAATATGAGAAATTAGAAAAAGACAACGCAGCACTGCGCAAGGAAATTAAACAACTGGAGCAGGAAGCATCCAGGTTGTCCTGTATCTTGAAAGAACATGAGACTACATGCTTCTTAGATGTTCGGGATATATTTTTGGACATCTTACAAAATGCAGACCCATTCTGGTCCTCAAACATTATGGAGCCACTCAGTCCCCTTTAAGTGCATTGCCTTTCATATTGTACCTTGGAAGTTGAAGCTTGGTATTTTAGGATGGAGCGATACTTTAAACAATAATGCCATCAACTTTAAAAATATTTAACATAGAAACAGCCTTTCTTTACTCTCACCCATGGTTAATACATTTGACTGGTTCATAAGAACATTTGGATAAGGAACTTATACTTGGGTAATTTGGCTACCCCTTGTTTGAGAGATCATTTATTTTTTCTGTTTGAATTACTGTGTCACCCTACCTCAAGAAGCAGATCCCTGGATTATTTTGGCTGCTGTTTGTTTAATGGTGTATGATGCCATAGTCGACTAAAAAGCAACTGGTCTGACAGAGTAGCGCCCTCCTATATATGGTGGTGGATGTATAGTGCAAAGTGATTTGCAAACTCGTCAAAGCTTCAAATATTAAAGGACCACTATAGTGCCAGCAAAACATACTTGTTTTCCTGGCACTACAGTGCCCTTAGGGTGCCCCCACCCTCAGGGTCCCACTCCCACCGGGCTGGACAACGAGGAAATGGTTAAATCTTACCTTTTTTTTTTCAGCGCCGGGCGGGGAGCTCTCCTCCTCCTCTCTGCCTCTTCGGCTGAATGCGCATGCGTGGCAGGAGCTGCGCGCGCATTCAGCCAGTCTCATAGGAATGCATTCATAATGCTTTCCTATAGACGCTGGCGTCTTCTCACTGTGATTTTCACAGTGAGAAGCACACAAACACCTCTAGCGGCTGTCAATGAGACAGCCACTAGAGGCTTTAGAGGCTGGATTAACCCATTTATAAACATAGCAGTTTCTCTGAAACTGCTATGTTTATAAAAAAATGGGTTAATCCTAGAGGGACCTGGCACCCAGACCACTTCATTAAGCTGAAGTGGTCTGGGTGCCTAGAGTGGTCCTTTAAAGTAAATGGAAAGGAACTGTGATGTGTCTGAATCTTGGCGATGGAAAAGACTGCACATAATGTTGCATATACAAAAACATTAAGTCAACTTTTCTAACCCCTTAAGGACCAAACTTCTGGAATAAAAGGGAATCATGACATGTCACACATGTCATGTGTCCTTAAGGGATTAAAGAGACACATAATATAATTATAACCCACACTGTGTTAGAGGGTGAGGTTACAGAAAACTCCTGAAGTACATAATTGCAATATTTTGGGATTATGTTCTTAAATGAAGATGTTTTGTCATTTTCCTCTAGGGAAATATTCTTTATTCATTTTTAACAAACATGATATGCTGCTATATTTGTTTTTGATTTCAAATGGAACTAAATCTGAAAATATTTTTTAGATATCATGTTTATAGATAAAATCTGCAGTTTACACAATGTCCACTAAAGGGGGTAATGTTACATTTTACTGTGTAAAGTTTTCTACACAAAGAAAATGTCTGCATCTTTAAAAATAGACCAATAAGTAGATCAAAATTATCAGAACTGTTTCCACCTTGTATGGATTTTCATCTGCTATGCTGTTAACTTTTTTTATCTCACCCATATTATTGGTATTTGTGAATGCAGTTTTCCAAACTTGTTTTGTAAAACTACATTTTTCATCCTTTAATCTCTTGCATGTATGTGGAGTAGCTATTGTAAGAGAAAAGATGTTAAATGGACACACCAAGTACCAACACCAGTGCTTATTGTAGTGGTTATTTTGCAAAAAAGCTATAAATTAAGTTCCTTCCACTTTTTTCAAACTTTTTTTTTTTTTTTAATGCAGCTGACAAAAACCAGGAGTTACCCTGTAATCCCAAAGTTTACCTCCTCGGCTAGCAATTAAACTTGACTGACATATGGGCGAAATACTCATTGTGTTTTTCTCCCAATCTTTAATATTTGCTAGCAAATTTGCCTGCACAATTTAAGGATAAAATGTTATACTCTTTAAAAAGAACATAAGTTCTAGGTGCCATGACAAATACCCTTTAAGATTAAGCATAGGGTATGTGTGCAAGTCTTAGATTTAGTGTAAGTATCGTGTTAGGGGGTTAGTATAGGGTTAGGGTTAATTATCAAAAAACAATATAAAATATGCATAGTTGCACTTAACCTTTTAAGGACAGAGGCAATTGTCCAAGTTCTGAACCAAAACAAAACCTGGAATTTGCACCTTTTATTTGTTCAACGGTAATGTAAGGGTTTCTCTTTAAGTCCCCCCCATACATATTATATATTGTTTTTTAATAGTCAGAAATGGCTCTCTCTTAATATCATATATGTATTCTTAACACAACATTAAGTGTAAATAAAATGTTAGTAATGGGAAAAACACATCTAGTAGAACTAAATAAAAATAACTCAAAATAAACTCACATATCAGACCTGATTGTTAAATACCTCATATGTCCAGGACCTAAATGATTAAGTAGTAAACGCTAACCCTATAACAACCCCCTTCTAACAGTATGCCAAGCCTGCCCTAATGCTTACACTAACTATATCTTCCGTAACTCTACACTATTCCTAATCCTAAAACAGATTTCATTCTAACACTAACTCTACCCCTAACCTTAACCCTTAGGAAACCCTCTGCTAAAATCAGTACTGTTTTCAGCGGATGAGTTTCCTAGCTAAAACAGTAGAGAGCAGTATATAGCCATCATCTACCTGCAGTTTTCAGCATTAATCATATCCCTGTAATGCCATTTGTGATCGGTGCTGAACAGCTGGCAAAGCCCAGCATCAAATACAATAAGCATGAGGCCATAGTGGGAGACCCTGTGCAGACCCAGGGTTAACCCTTGAGCACCTGCCAGCCCAGAATCAGCATGGCTGAGAGCGAGCTGTTCAGCCTCAGTGTTCTCAAAGGCTTTAAAGAGCTACTGCTCTTCGGTCAGCTTGGGGCCACTAACAGACATTCTGACAGAGGGGAGCCCAAGGTATAGATTGTTACTGGGGTATCCCTGGTGTGAACAGGGTTTTAATCCAGCTCACACAACATTGCTGCAATAGGTATTTAAATGCCTTTTTAAATGGCGACAGTAGCAATCTGTTTTAGCACTGTATACAGTGCATCTTTCAGTCTGGGGCTCCTAGTGTGAACTGGGATTTAACCCCAATCACATCGCAATGCAGTCAATGAGGATTTAAATATCAATTTAAGCGCTTCAGACTTCTTTTGGATCAACAGCAAAAACATATGTAAGGAAGGCTGAACTTGATGGACATAAGTCTCTTTTCAGCTATGTAACTATGTAATTTAAAGTACTGTATATAGTGCTCACTTTAACCTCTGCTGACAGAGGGGAGCAGGGATTTAACCCTACACACACCAAAACAATAGGACGTGTGAATACGTCCTAACCACATTAACGCCCTGTATATTTAGGATGTAATTATTTGTCCTAACTTTGTTAAGTGGTTAAAGAGAAACCCTTGAATTACAGTGGGATAAACACAGAGCACAAATTCTAGCTTTTATTTCAGAAGTTGGATATTGCCTCCATCCTTAAGGGGTTAAATCTTTATTAGTGATATATTGACCTTGTCAACACCAACATATACATGATTACTCACACATATATAAGTAGCCACTTACAGAATTCTAATTGGCCATGCTCAAAGACACCCAGAACTAAGCATGCCTAATTAGCCAAACAGGCATAACTAGCCATTCACATGCACACAAAATATGCTACATGCACCAACCTTATTAGTAACACACTCATACAGCTAACACTCACACACATTTGTATACAAACTTATTTTATTAACTCTCTGTTCATCCCTTGAAACACCTCTGCGCCCTGTTGTCCTCACTTCCTGTTGACCCTTTGGGGGAAGCAGGAGAGATGTGCACCTAGCGGCAGAGCTTTACCTACTACTCCCCTTCATCACTTTTCTCACTAACAGGCACAGGGTGTTGGGATAACACCTCATATCCCAGAACCATCTACCTGTCCCAGTGTTACGCTGAAGAGGTTGCTGACTGTTACGCTGCAAATTGGGAAGACAGCAATTAAAATCCTGCCCAACATCCTGAGTTGCATTATGGAAACTACTCATCCTCCATGCCCACACTGTCATGTGGCCCTCAAAGTGAATAGCCCAGTGCAGTTGCCTGCTTACCTTTCCCAAAGTATGGGCCTTTTATTATGGATTCCACTTAAATTACAGAACATCTTATAACTGTCTAGAATGAAGGTCTAGAATTAGAATGTTGAGATGATTCTTCACAACCCTGTGCTTTTAAACTTGCAAAACAGGATCTATGTTGTAGATGAAGATTAGAAAAATGTATTAAAAGCATTATCCACACCTTACGCATCAACTTATTACATGTGTGAAGATCTATAAAAGGCACCCATGACGTAGTATGTATACAAACATACGTTGTACTTGAAAAATGTTTAATTACTCTATAAAAACTGTTTGGCAGAGCAACACTGTACTGTATTTTGCTTTTTTTTAGTTAATGGATTCAAATAAATTCAAGAACCTTTCTGTTTCACTGAACTTTGTGTGTTGCCTCTCCTCTCCCTGTGCATCTACTTTTCCCTTTGTGACGGACCCGCTGGCACACTGACCGAGTACCTCCGCCAATCGATGCTCCTATTACTTGCCGAGTAATATTTGCATTTGCCCATAACAACTCCAAGCACTCCAACCGACACCATCAGCACTGCAGACTTATCCCATCCCCCAAGCATGAGCCAAGGCTTCAAGAAAGGGTCAAGCAGGTCTGTTTTAATGAGCACACAAAAGCAACAGCACTCATGCAGCAAAACAACTCCTCCTCAGAGGAAAACAAAATGACAGTTAAAGACAGACAGTGTTTGAATATATGACAGTTATTAAGGGTTTAAACTGGTGTTCTAAGAGGAGGGGGGAATAAAACAGTCAAACTAAGTCCATAAAACAGGGGTTTTCTTCACACTCTGCATCCGAAGTGCATAGCAAAACTGCAGATCCTTTGTCAGAGCATTTAAAGGGCCAGAACCAGTCTAATAGAATCCAATATGCTCAAATAACGTAACGGAACTCCCTGCTGCCTCTGGAGCCAGAGGCTCTATGACTGACTAGTGGTGCAGAGCTCAGCTCATTATCTTAGAATGATCACCTAACACTTTCAGCCAATGTGTTGGCCCTGTACGCTTCTGTCTATATTTATTGCTAAAGGGGGCAGGCAGTAGCACTAGGTGGACCCGAGATAACAAGACAAATTGTTACTAAATGATTTTGTCATTTACATTCGGGTGGATGCCAGGCCACTTCTGGCACCATAACTACTACATCATACTGTAGTGGTTATGGCTCTTGGAGTGTTCCTTTAACCCCTTAAGGACACATGACATGTGTCATGATTCCCTTTTATTTCAGAAGTTTGGTCCTTAAGGGGTTAAAGGGCAAAATCTTCCAGGGGCCATAGTCGCAGGGCAGGAGGCTGGCAATTAGTCCTCTCCAGGCACAAGTGGCAATGGGCACTTCGTCACACCCTTCACTTGACAGAATTTTAGAACCTTCCTAATCCCCCTTAACTCCTCTAGCTTTCATTTTTCCATTAACACATTTTCCCAGTGCTCCTCTATTAACCCACACAGCAGGTTTGCACATACAAAACATTCAGCTGCCCTTCTCCACACATGTATCTGAGAACAAGTATTTCTATAAAGCCACGCTATAAAGTCTTCATATTCTACAAGAAAGCTGGTGTTTGTTCCAGTATTTTATTTTCCATGCAGTTAATCTTGGGTTAACATACCAATAATGTTAAAAAAAAAAAAAATATGAAAAGCTGGAAACTGAATAACAGAAAATGACAGATTTTCTTGTATGTGTGATATATACAATATAATGCAAATACTGGCATTCAGCCATTCAATATAATGTGCTTAGGTGCTGAATATGTACAAGTTTATTTACTTAAGTGAAAATTCAAACTGAATTTCAAATTTAAAGGGACACTATATAGACACTGCAGCGGAGCTCCCTGTACCCCTGCCTGGGTACCTCCACCAAGGCCTGCTTCCTAGCGGGAATGGGGAATTAGCTCTGGTCCTTACAAGGACTTTTCCCGTTGAATCCCCTGCACGCTGAAACAGCAGACACAGGAGTAAATCTTCTTTCCCTCCAATAACAGGACAACACACAGTTTTGGAGTGTAAGCTGGAATAGAATTTTTAATGGAGGCACACTGGCCTTTTATGCAAGTTTCCCAACAAGGGTGACACCCAGGTGGACCTTGTTGGGCACAGGGACACAAAGTGAATAAACCAATAAAAACAGAGTCATACATTGAGACACTCCCATACACAAACAACAGAATCCCTCCTCTGTGCTTGGGAGATAATTGAATCAAGAACTGTACTAATCTAACCCAATTATCTCCAAGCACAGAAAAACATAAAATTACCTTAAAACACCCAAAAACCCCATAAAGTTACTTCCCCTGATTTGGGGGAACAACATATGCAAAAATCACCCAGATCGGTTCAGAGGTTCAGGAATTTCCTGGAAGTCATAGTTTTGACCAACCGTGCACATGGTCCTATGCCAAAAACAGTTCCAGGGAAATCAGTGTCAACAGTCAGTCAAGTTTGGTAGTCTTTCACAGGTTTCCCTGCAGGGCCAATAGTCTGTGGGCAGGAGGCTGGCAAGCAGGCTCCTCCAGGAGCTCGTGGAAAACTCACTTGGAGAGGGGAGTTTGTAACAGACATCATAACAACTTTAGCTTAATGAAGCAGTTTTGGTGTATAAATCATGCCCCTGCACTCCTTAATTCCAATTAGGAGTTTGATCACTTTGTTTATGCAGCCCTAGTCACACCTTACTGCATTAGACTTGTACAGCCTTCATAAACACTTCCTGAAAAGGAATCTTGATATTCTTATTGACAGTCTTCATTAAATCTTTTGTAAGTAATACAGAAGAGAGAAGTCGAGAGCATCACAGAGCATAAGAGGTCCTACAAAAAACAATGTTCTACTTTTCTTTTCTGTAGCACAAAATACACTGGTGCTTAATACAAAATATTGCTGCTGACTCAAACATAGGTATCTAGATGGTCTGGCTTCCTTTATTGCACATATAAAAAAGAGAGTCAAGCAAAAAAGGCGCTAATAATACAGTGATAAGATTTTCGTGTATACAACAATAAAAAGATAAAGCAGCAACCTTCTCAGTGCAACAGCTCAAAAGACACCCAATAAAAATCAAAAGACAAAAAGGTGCGCTTGAATTTGCGCTATATGTCTGTTCAGGCGTAATTTGCCTCTTTCTTATTATGTGCACCCACACTTATTATATATAATTTTATTCAGGGGAAACAGGGCTTTCATTTAACATCAAATATTTAGGTAAAAAACATAATTTAATATGAATGAAATATAAAAAAATGGGGGAAAATAAGAATTTAAAAACAAAATGTTTAGTTCTACGTGACATTCTAACTGTGAATGTCAATACTGTTTGCTTTTACTGCAATAAAATACACATATTTGTATTCAGCGATATCTCACATGTAAAACAGTACCCCCTATGTACAGGATTTATGGTGTTTTGGGAAGTTACAGGTTCAAATATAGCATGTTAGTGCTACTAAAAAAAACTGGACATACCCCATTTGCAATACCTTGGGTTGTCTACTTTTGCAAATGGTATGCCATCATGGGGGTAATTCTCATTCCTGGGCTACCATATTGTAACGTATTCATTCGCATATAAAAATGTAATTTATGACATTTGCTGTTTTGACAGGAAAAGTTGTGCCGTGCAACATTACTGTCCTGACAAGAAAAGTTGTGCCGATCAGCAATCAAATCCACAGCAATTATGCAAATGGTAACCTGGTAACTGCCTTTGGGATTAAAGGCCGATTACAGCAGTTCTCATCCTGCACAGTGCCCTGTTGTGGTTTCCCTAGTGGTTGTCCGAGAGCGCGTTCCTGATTCAAATTTCTTTTGTTTTTTTACTTTGATTTTGACTTCCCTGTGCCGGTCGCAATCCCAAGAAAGGCACAAGATAAGGTGCTTGACATGTTGGGGCCCCTGGATGCTGCAGCCATAAGAGATTGGGCATTACGCTCCATTTGCCTGCTGGGCAACTCCAACGTGGCATTATGCAGAGCGGAGGAGGACGTCAACCGCTCTGAACAAGGCCCAATCATTAATGAGGAGGGTGTTCCGCTCTCACACCTCTCGTGTTTTTGGCAGGGCTGGAAGGCAGCGGGGTCATGCCTCCAGCCGCTTCTGGCCACCGAGGATCCCGGACACCATCCTTCCTCCCCAGCTACCACTCTGGGTCCTTCACCTCCCAGAGGTCGGACCGTGGCAGAGGGAACCGGACGCGCGGTAGGGGCAGAATGCCCACAGGTGAGACAAGTTACACCACATGTTTTTCCAGGTCCTTTGCATGCAGGCAGGTTCCGTTTTTGTCTCGACAGGTGGCGGGACATTTCTTCGGACGCATGGATACTCCAAACAGTCCGAGGTTATGTTATAGACTTCCATTTGCCCCCAGTCCAGGAGGTACCCCCCGGCTCCGGTGTCGTCAAGAGCACTACAAATCCTGGTGGACGCCGAAATACAGGCCCTCTTCGACAAAGGGGCAGTTCAGTGGGCGCCGGACGACGCAGGTTTCTTCAGCTCGATTTTCCTAGTCAGGAAGAAAACGGGAGATTTCTGTCCAGTTATAAATCTGAGGAACCTGAACGCCTTAATTTCCTATCAACACTTCAAGATGGAGGGCATCCATCTTCTAAGAGACTTACTGAGCCCAGGGGATTGGTTCACTCATCTAGACCTGAACGACGCATATCTATCCGTACCGGTGGAATCCGTAATGCCAACGATTCCTACGCTTCGTTTGGAAAGGGAGGCCATGCCAATTCACCTGCCTACCCTTCAGCCTCAGCTCGGCACCATGGTGTTTCACCAAACTGATGAAACCGATAACAGCATGCCTGCGCTCCAGGGACATTCGGTGCCTGATATATCTGGACGATTTGCTTCTCTTCTGCGAGGACGCCTCCAGGCTGAAATCTCAGACGCTTTAAACGGTCTCCTTGTTCAAATCCCTAGGGTTTGTGGTCAACCGAGAGAAGTCAGCCCTCACACCGACGCAGGTAGTTCAATTTTTGGGGTTCCAAATATATGCGCCTCCCTCAGGCCAAAATCACGGCCATTCGAAAAGAGATCCGATGGATCCTGCGTCAAGAAATGATCCCACTCAGGGTCCTGGCACGAGTGGTGGGGCTCTTGTCCGCATCGATCCAAGCCATCTACCCAGGTCCGTGCAGCGCCTGAAAGCACGCTGATTCCCATCACGCAGGAAGACCGAACTTCGCTGGTGGCTACTGCATGTCAGCCTGGAACGGCAAGGCAATTTTTAGACCGACCCCGGACTTTGTCCTAGAATCAGATGTGAGCCTGTGGGGCTGGGGAGCAACCTTCACAACGGGAGGCCCCTGGTCAAGCACAGAAACAGGATATCACATCA